TATTAAAAGATATGTAGACTCTGGCCCACACAAGGTTGTGCGTAGGTTTATGTGGCCCTCCCTCCTCCAATGTTTAAAAAGTCAGCAACAAAAATACCTGCTTACATAAGGTGCTTTTATAGCCCCCCCCCACCCTAATATCTGAGCACCTGGCAATTGTTCATGTGTTTAGCCTAAGGATACCTGTGGGAAGTTGGTAATTGTCATCTAGATAGGTATTGTTATCCCCACTGTACATATGGGGAACTGAGGCATAGAGAGACTTAGGCCTCGTCTACACTACACTACACGTTCAGGGGGGTGGGTGAAAAAGAACATAAGAACGGCCATACTGGGTCAGACCAAAGGTCCATTTAGCCCAGTATCCTGTCTTCCGAAAGTGGCCAATGCCAGGTGCCCCAGAGGGAATGAACAGAACAGGTAATTATCAAGTGATCCATCCCCAGTTGCTCATTCCCAGCTTCTGGCAAACAGAGGCTAGGGACATCATTCCTGCCCATCCTGGCTAATAGCGATTGATGGACCTATCCTCCATGAACTTATCTAGTTCTTTTTTGAACCCTGTTATGGCCTTGGCCTTCACAACATCCTCTGGCAAGGAGTTCCACAGGTTGACTGTGCATTGTGTGAAGAAATACTTCCTTTTATTTGTTTTAAACCTGCTGCCGATTCTTTTCATTTGGTGAGACCCATAACATGCCCTTAAAACCATAAAAGCCAAACCTTTGGGCGACATAGTTACACCAATTTAACCCCCCCCTGTGTAGACAGTGCTATGTCTGCAGGAGAGCTTCTCCTGTCAACACAGCTATTCCTTCTCAGGTAGTTAACTATGCTGATGAGAGAGCTCTCTCCCATTGGCTTAGAGCATCTTTGTTAAAGTGCTACAGCCGATGCAGGGTTTTAAGTGTAGACTTGCCTTAAGTGACTTACCCAAAGTAATACAAGGTGGGTGAGGTAATATCTTTTATTGGGCCAACTTCTGTTGGTGAGAGAGACAAGCTTTCGAGCCACACAGAGCTGTCCTTCAGCTCTGGGAAAAGAGCTCCCAGCATCACAGCAAAGTGCAAGATGGAACAGCTTGTTTAGCATAAGTAGTTAGCACATATTGGAAAGGACCATTCAAGGGAGAGTGGCCTGTTAACACCCGTGTAGTCATAGGACATGAAGAGGGGGTTGGTGGGTTACAGTCGGTCCAATAACCGATATTACCTCAGCCACCTTGTCTCTGTAATATCCTGGGACCGACATGGTTACAACTACAGTGCATACACAGTCATACAGGCCGTTTGTGGTAGAACAGGCCGTTAACACCGTCTCTTCCAAGTCCTAGGTTAGCACTGTAACCACTAGACCATCCTTCCTCTACTCAGTCAGCTATGACCTCTATTAGTGTCACTGCTTGTGAGGGACAAAATTAGTAATGAAAAATGGAAAAGTAGCATCAGTCATAGCCACCAAAGGGCCCAGTCCTGTGAGATACTTGTGCGCTTCCGGTAGGGTGGGCAGCACTTGGTTGAACTTTGGCCCAAAAGAAGCTACAAGAGAAACAGTTCATCCCATTCTGATCCACTGACGCGTATTTATTCGGATAACAAATGATTTACCCTCGTCAAGAGCCCCGCCCTTGGATTTGTGTTGCGGTGCAAATCATTGCATCGCGTGTTTTCATTCTGTTTTACCCTGCTGATAACTCTGATACTATCCTGAGCACAGACGGTGGTGACTGTGTTCAAAGTCTTCAGTCCTCCACACACCCCAGTGATGGCAGGCAGGGAAGGGTAATAAGACAGCTCTGCCCCGAAGGAGAGCAGCACTGTGAAAACACCAGGTGTGGTGGTTTGTTTGATGCAAGGCACAAGGTACACTGAGGCATGGGCAGGGCTCTACCCCAGGTGTGAAGAACTAAAGAGGTCATGGGGTGGGGGGAATTTATATTTCAGGTTGGATGAAAATTAGTTTCTTGATCATCAGAACCTTTTAACCTGCTGTTAATTTTCTTCTTGGCTACAAAAGGCCATTGTTTGGATGAAGGGGAGGGGAAGGCACCATTATAATCTGTAGGAGAGTGCATGGAGGAGAACACGTATGTCTGTGACTCTGAGCTGAGACCGCGGATCAGCGGGCCTCTGTGAGCACAAATGCTTATCCCTGAGCTCGCTGCAAGCTGACAGGTTTTCTGCACAGCAGGGGGTCACTAAATTAACTGTGCACTTGGGCCGTGCAAATTCCTTCTTTTCAGTGGCACCTGGAGCTTCCGATGCCTAGAAACAATTCCATTCCCCTGCATGTGTAATTTTGCGTGTCATTGCCCCTAATTGCATGCTTAAATTGCGCGCTTTTAAAATGCAGCCCTTTTATCAGCAGTAGGTAGTAGAAGGTTTAATAGGGTGTTTGAATTCCTATAAAATTAATCTGTAGCTTTCTGTGATAGGGGATGGGCAGGGAGCCATGTGGTTCATATCCAGTGTTGATAAACTCGTTATAGAGGCAGGAAACATTTTCGATTGGAGCAGTGACAAAATAATTTGGAGGGGAGCCATAAAAAGAGGGGATGTGATGCTTCTAGCACAGTGGAGATTGAAATTGCTGGTGTGTGGAAGCAGCGCTGCCAGCTAACATTGACTTAGTGTCTCTGGAGACCTGTAATAGCAAGTGCATTTTATTAATGACAATATTCTTTAGGAAATGCTGAGGCATTGTTGCTAGAGGTGGAACTCTCTTGCAAGTGGGATTGTGTGTGTTGGTTTGGAAACCTTCCAGACCAAGACCTGTTCAATTGAACTTTCTCATCGCTGGTAACGGATCGAAGATCTCATTGTGGCAAGCAGGCTGCCCTAAGACATGATGCTGTCTTCTCAGTGTCCGGTAGTTTGTAGCTGTAACATCCTTCCTTTTGACTGAGTGGAGATACAGCACGTTAGGAACCACTTGCCTGGATCGTCATGGGGTTAGAGTGCTAAGCCAGTGGGATGGACATTTTGGCCATTTTTCTGTTGCTTGTTCTTTTTTGACTGTTCATTTACCTTATGATAAACCATAAGCCTTGTATTATCAGCTATCTAACACCTGCTTTAATGGGTATTCCCTGTTTTTCATCTTTTTCCTCCCCTCTTGGCCTTTGCTGTGTTTTGTCTTGTGATTCGTCGCTAATCAGCCCTTGTTCATGATCTTGTTACTGTTAGATCTCTCTGGGTGAATTTTTTGTAACGCAGATTTGGTTGTCAGCCGAAGGCTGCACTACTCATGTCTAGCAATCTAGGTCTGATTCTGCTCCCGTCCATGTTGGTTGGGGTTTGGGTCTTTTGTAGTGCTTTGCTCTTTGTTTTTTACCAGTCATCCCACAGCGGTGGTGTTCTGAATGCAAACACGTAAAATACCCATTCTGTTAGAAATTGTGACAAGCCTGAATCAGATCCCCAGGTCTGACTCCTGTTTCTGAATGTTGTGGCAATTTACATTTGGATCCAAATCTGGATCTGAACTTCCTGTCTTGTGCTTACTTCTACAGGGGGCTCTGAACACCCTTGAAGTTAGGTCTTGGCTTATGACTACCTATTCCTGGGAGAATTCTGTGCCAAAAAATTAAAAGTTCTGCGCCAACACAGTAAAAATTCTGCACATAATATTTTACAATTTTGCAAAATTCTGGAAATTTTATTTGTCAAAATAACACTACATAATCACGCCAGTTTCAATTAGTTTGGTAATTTATTTCAAAATACCTCTCTGTAAATATGTCTGTTACAATACAGACTCACGCAAAAATGTCCCCAGGAGTAGAGAGTTAAAGAAACCCCTGTGACAACCCAGTTCCAGTTTCTTTGCCCCCTGTTCCCCTCCAAAAGCCCAGCCGGGGAGGCCAGACACTCACAACCCCTCCCCATGAGTCCAGCCGTGGGCCCCCCAGCCAATACATCTGAACCCCCCCCCCCGAGCCCAGTCGTGGGGGTCCCCCTAGCCCAGATACCCACACCGCTTCCCCTCCAGAGTCCAGCTGTGCCCCCCCCACCAGCCCAGACACCCGTCCCCCTACCACCCAGGGATCCAGAAGGAGAAACAGCCAGTTGCTGGGTCCCAGGCTTGTGTGGAGTTTCCTGCACACTGCCCTCTCCTTCCCTCAGGGCCTGTGGGGAAGCTGTAGCTGCTAGGAAATTTCTACTCTCTCTCTCTCTCTCCTCCCCTCCCCCCCCCCCGGCAGTGTCTTCTGTGCGCGAGCTGGGCTCTGCTGGGTCTAGCAACCCCTAGTGGCAGCCATCAGCACTGCAGCCCATTTCTGGGGGAGGGGCAAAGGAAATTATGTGCAAAAACATTAATTTCTGCAAAATTCTGCATTGCGCAATGATGCAGAATTCCCACAGGAGTAGACTACCGGAAAATGGCCTCTCTCCCCATGTGCATCCGGGTTAAACAGGGTGGCTGGGTATTCTCTGCAAAAGCCTCCCTTCTTTATGGAAAAGTTCTACAGAACTTAGTAAGGGTGAAATCAGTAGGATGACACTATAAAATTACACTACAAAATTACAGGATCTAAGAACACAAACGAATTTCGATAGGCTTTTAGCCATCGTATGGAATGCTATTGCGGTGAGATAATTCTCTATTACATCTTATAAGGTAGTTAAAGCCCATGGGAAAGCTCTTATTTTCTTTAATTTTGTAGGACTTTTCCTGTGTGTTTACACATCCTATGCTGAAGTTGCATATCTTACATCGACCCCTCTCCTCCCCGCCCCCCCAGTGTAGACCAGCCTTACGAGCTGGCACTGTAGCCCAGAGGAGACACTGCAGGTCATTCCTGTAGCCCAGTGTAATGGGTGACCTCTCAGCTGTGCGGGAGAGATGTGCGAAGGGGGCTGCCACTTGTGAGTGGCACTTCAGATGCCAGACCCCTGGCAGGGCTGAAGTTTGCGTGTTTATGTCCGATCACGTTAACCGCGAAGTGCCGTGACATCTGTTTGTATAAATCAGGAGACAACCCAAATGTCTTTTCCTTGCAGGGAAGCTGTTGCAGGGGGATTCTCTGGAGCTGAGCTGCAGGGCTGCCTCTGCAAAGGTGACATTAGAGCCGAGCCAAGCCGTGGTGTTGGACTGTAACCTGGCTTCTGTCGAGCAGTTGATCAATATCACGTGGAAGAAGAATGGGTTCCCATTAGTGGAGCAGGAGCACCTTCATGTGCTTCCAAATGGATCACTCTTCATATCGTCCCCGGCTGCTGCTAAGGAGAGTAAATATCCTGAAGGGACTGGCGCAGAGGGTAATTACTCCTGTGTCTCCCAGAGCGCCTTAGGTGCGGTTGCCAGTCAAACGGCTGCAGTTAGATTTTCAAGTAAGTATTTTTCTGGTATTGATACAGCCTCTTCGGCCTGGCTTAAGAGTGGAGAAAGAATTGTCTAGGAAAACGTGATTCCTTTAAATGCTGGCAGGCCTCAGAATTGTCTGTAAAATAAGTTACGACGTCGTCGTCTTTCCCCCCCTCCCCCCTTCCTAGTTACATTTTAATTTCCCATGGAACCCTTCCAGATTTCTTCCTGACAAGGCCCTCCTGTTCTCAGAAAGCCAGGCTTTTCCTATGGGACATTATCTTGTCAAGTCCTTTTGTGTCAGGACACACGGTCTGTATACAGAATGCACTGTATTTCCGAAGGCCAGATTCTCAGCTGGCCTAAATCAGTGGGAGTCAATGGAGTTATACCCGTTGAGGATCTGCTACCTTCTAGCAGTTCTTCAGTGACAAAAAGCAGTTCCGTCCTGTGCTAACCTTGTGTCCTTCCTCCTTTATTCAGTCTCTTGATTGGTTGTTTTTCCCCCAGTGTTATTACAGAAACTGTGGTGCTGGGTCTTGTTAAGTTGAATTATACTGGTGTGTGTGTGTGTGTGTGTGTGTGTGTGTGTGTGTGTGTGTGTGTG